TCTCCTGACTTGTCTCTCTCTCTCAATAAGATTCAGCTCTATCCTCCCTGCCAAGCGGTCATAGGATAAATGTTTGTTTTATTAAGTTGTTGAAATAAAAAAGTTTACGCAAGCTAATAGGAACATGTTTTCAGTCCATACAATCTGAATGAGAGTGCAACAATTTGTTTTAGAAGCATTTTTTTTTTACATATTAAGAAAATGAACAAAATTTCATTTCAAAAGATCAGAATGCAAGACTAACATCTTGTTTATTCATTTAATGAATAAACAAGATTTTAGTCTTGCATTCTGATCTTTTTCTTTCTAAACAGGATCAACTCAGAAATCCATTCTTAGATGGATCTTCTCCTATCACACCACCTTTGTAAGAAGCACTTTTAGCAATGACAAGTTTGGAATTAACCTTTAACTTTATTTTTTGGACACAGAAAGATTTTAACACCAATCTTACAGAAAGTAGGGCTGGATTCTAAATCAATCCTTGGATTTCATACATGTATTAAAAAAAGAAAAAGTATTATGCTTTCCTAACAGTGTAGGGTTTCTTGTAAACTTTACCACAATAATCATTTTTAAAATCATTACCAATCATGAAACAATAAAAGTTGCTTTATCCAAATTGTGTAAATAATGATCATATGTGTTATGACACTCTTTGTTATTGTATATAATTTCCCGGAGGATACTTTGGGAATGAGAAGTTTGGTATTTTGCTCAGATTCCGAGATGCGTAGAACCGTTTTTAAATTGAAACCATCCATTACTACAATTGACAAAATACAAAACTGTTAGTTGTATACAACTATTATTATTCAACCTATCACAGCCATAGTCTAATCTGTTAGATTTGCATAATAAATGAATAACTAATTGGAAAAGCGCTCCCTATTCAGAGACAATACTTGACTAGATCCATATCAGGTAGAAGCTTGTTTTTCACCTTCTTGATTTTCAGAGTGAGAGAACCACAATCGGTTTCATCACAAAACAGTTTCATCAGATTGAAGTACAAACAAAACAAACAGAACAACTGCCAACCCCGCTTGGCAGGGAGGATAGAGCTGAATCTTACTGAGAGAGAGAGACAAGTCAGGAGATAACATGACTTTCCCCCATGTTTGTATCAAAGCATTGGTCCTAAATTATTCCTATCTTTTGTCTGACAAGACAACAAAGTTTGACTAAAATTAGAATTTGAAACTGGCCCCGATTCATCAATAGTTCTAGTTGTAATAACTATGGTTTGCCTAATGTTAGCACAAAACATTTTCTTAGGTTTTAGACAAACATTTTTGGGTAATAGGAGAAATGAAAAGGATGATTTTTTTTTTTATAGACTAAAGCAGTGGAGAGGTATTTGACTAAACACTTGCATATGGTTTTATGACTGAGTAACTCGAGATGACCGTAGCCTCGTTCTTTTCTAAGCATGAAAAACAGCCACATTACCAGGAAACTAACTGTTCACCTTATAGCTCTGTGTTGCTGGTCCAACCTAAAGGGCTTTGTGAAACAGCTGATTTTCCTGCCCGTGGCTAAATAGCCCAGATTCAGGACCGGTAGGTTTAAGGTGAGCCCAAATTATTTCTATAGTAACTTTCAGTAAAAAGAAAAAGTAAAGTTTAGTACATCAACAAAACAGGAAAAACAAAAATGCAGTCAAACTTAAAGTAATGGTATTTATCCTACAGTTGAATTAACTCGGCCAAGGGCCGATCTAAAGAAAAATAGAGTTTAAACCTTAATTCAAGGCAATGTACATTCCTTGAAATACGGCCTGGATAGTTTCTCCATGTTTAGTCAGGGGGTTTGCAGATCAGTCTGGAGCCTGAAGATGAAGCAAAGTGAATAACCAGTGAGGAGATACGGTGGAGGTGGGGGGTTGGGTTTTATGAGAAACAGCACACAATGTAGGGTAAAAGTTCTTCTCAGAATTATTCTTGTTTATGAAAGGACTCTTAATGGGGAAAAAAAGAATTTCTCGTAATACTACTGACTATTGATTGTGAGATGTAATTTTACCTAAAGGGCGTAATATCATTCTTTGTAAAATACTGTAAAATTTATCATCTAAAATGTTTACTGATCCGACACAGCTGAAATTCTGATCCTGTAGGTTTTTTGACATGGTTTTATCTTCTGCAGACCGATATAGTTCTGACTAAAGAGTCAGGCAGAGTGGTTATATCATGTTTAAGGGTTTAAAAGAGTACAAACATGATGGTTTCATTGTAAAAAAATAAATAGCCCAACTAATTCAATTAAAAACATTATATTCACATGACTATACTAGTTAGTTATACAAAGAAATGATGGTATGATCACTAAAAGCGTAGATGTTTAAGACTACTTAGAGGTTGGTTTGAATCTTGTTGCATTCATGATATGGAATCTCTTCATAAAAAAAAAAAAAAAAAGATAGACAAGCAAAAACATAAAGTAGCAGATCTAAAACAACTAATTTTGATGAGGAAAAAAATAACAGCAGTATAAGCTAAGCAGTTTACATTTTAACCATACAGCGAATGTCACCCTAATCTGCTCCTGAAATGTTTTTGTAAGTTTTTACAGCTTAAATAATAGTGGGTAATGCTTTGTTTTTGTTACATGTTCAGTCAACAGATGTTTGATTTAGACACCATTGGATAATTCTGTAATCGATTACTTCTCCTTTGGATTTGCATCAGTTAAAAAAAAAAGAAGAAAAACCTATTACCTTCCCTTGTGTAACTCTTATTTCCATGTTATACTTGTAGTGCATACAGATACTACATTAGAACGGTTTAAGTCCATCCATCCATCTTATTCCATCATTTCGCCAGTCTGTCGCAGGGCAACACAGACACACAAACATTCACACCTAAGGAGAATTTAGAGAAGCCAACTAACCTAACAGTCATGTTTTTGGACTGTTGGAGGGAGCTGGAGTACCCAGAGAGAATCCATATATGAGTGGGGAGAACATGCAACAGTTCAGAGCAAGGAATAAATTGCTAATGGCACCTAAATCTTATTGTTGGTTACAAAATATTAGAATTATTACAGATTATTTCTATAGAACCTGACTAGCTGTTTGATTCTTGCAAATTCTGAAATAATGGGCAAAGATATCAAACTCAAGATATGAAAAATGTAAAATAAGCAATCTGCCATCATGCAATATGCAAAAGTTGGTCCATCAACCAGGTAAAATTTGGGAAAGTTCAATAGGGATGAACATTTTGCAGCTGCATCAATGGGTAAAAGAAAGATGAACAAAAGGTTGAGTATGCACTGGAGCAATGCTACTCTCTGAAATTTCCAATCAGCAAAGTAACATTTTGACTAAATCATTGAGATACAGTGAAGTTGCAGGCTTTACCTTGAGAGGACAACATGTGCCCTGATAGGAAGGTGCTCCCCTTTCTCCTCCCACTTCTTGTAATGTTGGATCTGCAGACTGATTTTCTAAACAGGAAGGAAAAAAAAAACACAAGTGTAACATTAAAAATCCAGCCATAAACTATTTATGGCTGAAAAATTCAGTGTTGAAGCTTGTAACCAATGTAACAAAAAAAAACTATTGGAGTTTGGGTTGCAAAGTGTTACATATTATTTTGCACGTTGTTCTGAAATTTAGACGGAGACCTGTGCAAACTGGTCCTGCTGGGAACAGACCAAGAAAACTAGACTGAACTGGAAGCTTTTATCAAGCTTGATGATTTACTGCGCACTCAGCATCTCATGCTTTGCGAACATGTGTTTTAAGTCGAGTTAAATGATGACTAGGTGACTCATGGAGCTTAAAAGTATGACAAACCTGAGAAATACTTCATGCATTCAAGCTGCAGACAAACGATTACTGATCCTAGATTAAACATTAAGACAAAAATTGTTGCTGCCTTGTAATGCAATTTCCAAAGAAGGCCCAGTTGCGCATCACTTCAATGTATATTGTGGCTGGAGTGTTTCCACTTGAGTTACAGATAGATCCCTCTTCACTATGAGTGCAGGGGAAAAAGAAACAGAAATTCAGATTGAAGTATAATTCACAGCGAAGTGGGGGTACTTCACTCAGACATGACTAAAATATCTTACAAGTAAAAATGGAGTGAGGCATTGTGGTGGTGAAATTGTGCACAGGAAATAATTTTCATTAGCAGAATTGAGAAACAGGAAAATCTGTTGCAAGGATTAAAAATTAAAAATATGAAGAGATTTTCCCCAGATTGACTGAGTTTGAGCTGTTTTGCATAAAATAAGGAGAAATATTCAGTCTTTGGACATGCAAGGCAGTGAATGACACCAGAGGCATACTGCAGTAACCTAGGAGGAACTGGTAATTTTCAGACTTTAACCTATTGAATTATTAATTATTTTTGTGCATTTATTTCCTTTAATAATAAAATGCTCCCAGAGGTTCTAACAACTTGATATGAGCCTCTTATGATTAAAACTAAGACAAAACACTAAAAGATTGTGAAATAGGACAAAGTATTGATATAGTCCCTTTTGCACATAACCAATTTGGTGGAGAATAAAACATAAGTTGAAGTAGACAAACTAATTCAAATAAAATTATATTTCTCTATTGCATTCAGGCCTGTTTAGTTGGTTTGAAATCTTTTTTATGGATCTTTATGTGTATAAACTCAGCATGTAATGTATCATTACTGTCTTAAAACATTCTTTATAAACTGTTTAGTTGAGCTAAGATTGTTACATTTTTGTCAAATTCAATTTTTATTTAGTATATCAGGTCCCACGGGCAAACAGAAGATAACTGTGGTTACAAAATTACAATCTGGCCCTCTGTTGTACTTGAGCCTCCTCAGATTAAACTCTTAACTTTAGCCCCAAGAAGCAGTTTCCCTTTGCACTGTTATAACCAGCTTTAATGTGTGAAATCCTACTTTTTAAAGAGGCGGATGTGAGGGGTTGGATAAGAGGAGGAGTTTTTGAGTCACTTGTGAAATAAAGGAGATATGAAGCTTCAGATGGACTCTGACTGGCAGCAGATGGAGCACAGGCCTCTATTTATGAACATTTTTTCTAGATATAACAATTGTTTCAGTAGTTTTTATGTGCATTATTTGGAAGACAGCATACATATCTGTTACAGCAGTATTGTGTTATGTAGATAAAATACAGAATTTCTTCAGTTTCCAGACAGACAGAAATAGGAACCTGCCTGGTCCCTGGTTGATAACAGAGCCAATTACAGTAATCTGAAATTTTTGGATTAGTTTTTAAATTCAAACCAGAATAATGCAGGATTATGAGGAGTCTGTGTCCTTTCTGGGGGACTGGGGCCCATTCCAGAGGAAGATCTTCTTTGTTCTCTGCATCACCTGTTTTCCTTGTGGATTCAACATCCTGTCTGTCATTTTTCTGCTGGCCAGTCCCCCACACCACTGCAACAGCCCAGTCAGCAGCAACCTAAGCCTGGAATGGATCCAGGCCAACATCTCATTACAGGTCAGAACTGTAGCCAAACTACATTAAACCACAGGTGTCAAAAGTATTCATGCTTATTTCTCAACTAGAAGTGTAAATTCTACTGTTTAAAAAAATCTTTTTGTATAATTTATATTATCAATTTAAGCTTTTTAATCAAGTTAAAATGTAAAAGTAAATTAAAAAAAATACTTAAAGTATAAAAGTAAAGGTAATTCAGGAAAATTATTAAGGACAGATGGTTTACTGCACTACCTTATTAAAGGAATTTTTTTCTACAATTCTGGATGATAACTTCCTTAGAGTTGATCTTTTTCTTTGTTTTAGAACTAATGGTAACAGTGTCAAATGTAACTTTACATCATGTTGGAAAAACTATTCCTTTTGGTATGTGGCGAAGCAGAAGAGTCCAACCACAAATAAATCGTCTTGATGAAACAAATCATTTTGATGGTTTTTTTAAATACCAACAGGCAATAACTAAAACGAGCTTAAATGAAACAGAACTAATGAGTCTATTTTAAAATGTAAGGATAAGTGCAAAAAAAATGTAAGGACCTGAAGTAAAAAGTTTTCTGAAAAATAATTCCTCCACTAAAGTATGGATGCCAAAATGTCTACTTAAGTAAGGTAATGTAAGTATTTGTACTTTGTTAATAGACACCTCTGACGAAAACATTCATGTTCTCCAATGTCTCCCTTGAATATTACATGAATGATAGTTTAATGAATTGTATTTAATTCAATTCAGTTTATTTGTACAACACCAATTCACAACAACTTTCTTTACGTCTTTAATACTTTTTCCCTGTGCCTTTTCACTTCACTAGACATCACTTTATTTCTGAACATCTACTCAATTCAATTCAGTGTATTTATACAGCACCAATTCACAACACCTGTCATCTCAAGGCACTTTACAGTTCAACCAGATCATACGGTCAAATTGATTCAAAGTTTTCTAAGGAAAATGAGTTGATTGCATCAAAGCCAATATCAAACACCAAGCATGCCTGTAGCGACAGTGGAGAGGAAAAACTCCCTTTTAACAGGAAGAAACCTTCAAGAACCAGGCTCATTGTGAGCGGCCATCTGCTGAGGCCGACTGAGTTTAAAGAGACAGAAGCAGAGATAGAAAAGGTAAATGTCAACCAGCTCCACAGGTGGCCCCATCCAGGAAACACACAGCCAGGCAGATGAGCTTCTACCCAGCTCCCATGTCAGAGAATGAAGAGAGCACATTCAGCCATTCACAGTCAGAGAAACAGGACTACACTCAAAAACAGGCCAAGCTCCAACATCTATAAAAAAAAAAAAAGGTGTTTATGACAGTAGCACAGTTGATGTGTCACAGCCAAACAGGACCAGATGAAGCTTCTGTGAGAAAAAGGAGAGAGAGCATAATGTTGGAGAATGAACTAACAAATTCTGCTGAGAGGGAGAAAAGAGATAGAATGATGCAAAGGGGCCCTTATGTCCTCCAATAGTCTAAGCCTATACAGCCCCTATAAACCATTTAATAAAACATTTTGTCTCTTAACCTCATGTTATGTCTCCAAATATTATGCTGTTTTCAATATTTTTCTGCTAACTTGACGAAATATTTTAGGATGGTTTGGTTATCAGCCCTTAAACATTTAATAGCAATTTCCAAATAGATTGTTTCACTTAATATCAGCTGTAAGACTCAAAGACAACAAGTAGCAAATATACACAGTATCAAGAACTGTATGTAAACAGTGTCATTAGTGAGAGGTAGATACTAAATATAGGGCTAAAAGAGACTTGACCAATAAGAGGATTGCTTTGCAACAGCTGGATGAGATCATTAACTGTAACAGTATGTTTTTAAACCTTAAAGGAACTACTTTTATGTTGCTATACTAACTAACTTATGAAAATAAATAAACTTTAGATATTTGAATTTTACCTACATGGTGATTGTTGAGATTGTCACTCGTGTTCATATTCAAGTTTTAGTGAATCTGGAGATCATCCCAAAAGGAAAAAGTCAGAGACATTTTCCTAGTGTAAGAGTACTAATTGAACAATTGTTTTACATAATTAAGTGTTAAAAGTGGTCAACCATAACATTTATAAATTATTAGCAAAGAAGCTACTTAGGTACAAAGTAATTCATCATAACATCTGATTCACTATTTTAAATCATGTTATAAAAGAGATGATAATTAAAAATTATGTATAAATTCTGGAATTTATAAGACTGTAATAAAACAATTAAAATAGATGAATAACATAAATGACCGAAATCCTCGTTGAAGAAACACTGCATGAAACGTTTGAAACCAGGCGACATAGCAGGCATTGTAAACGTTTAATAACAGTGAAGTGGCAATACTCACTCCTTACTCTAATTACTAGCTTAACTTCCAAATAACACGGTCACTTCAGATATAAAATAAGCTTATGTACAATAAGAGAACAGTTATTTTAATATGAATATAAACTTTAGTTACTATTAAAATTACTCTTAAAAAAGTTTAATGTTTTTGTAAGTTTATATACCTATGTAATTAGTTACTACCCACTTCTAGAGATACAGCAGTGGGTAGTTACTAAGAGGCTCTGACTAGAAAGGGTGAACAGATCTGTGCAGATTTTTTTTCACTTTTCTGCCGGGGTCCGAGAGCAAAAGATCACATCTCATAATGTCAATATTTGCTTCTGTCTTTAGAACCCCAGTATGCCTCAGACGATGGCCTCTGAACCCGTGCGTGGTTCTGATGGAGGTTTCTTCCTGTTAAAAGGGAGTTTTGCTCTCCACTGTCGCTACATGCATGCTCAGTGTGAGGGATTCTTGAGAGTCAAAGAGTCTTTGCAAACAGCTGCTTTTTCTTAGATAGTAAATCTTAACTAATCTGACTGTGTTATTGGAAATACATTGAATTGATTAAAACTTTTCTACAGTAGTAGCCGTAGCCGTTTCCTTTCCTCAATGGGTCCTTGGCTGGTCCTTAGCTGGTCCTTGGCTGGCCCTTTTTTTAAAATCTATCTGTTTACTAAAATATTCTTTCTGTCATGATTTTTGGTCATTAAGATCTAAAGAGAAGCACTTTCTCCTGGTCAGACCCTGTAATTTAGAGAAAGGGTTGAGTCAGAGTAGAAAAATATGCAAGATGAGGTCACTCAAGTGGCTGGAAGTTGGCTGCCATTCTTCTGGGGTTTGACCTGGAAGGGCCATTTTGAATGGTTGCTACTTGTAATTGCAACTTTTCCCTGTGTGAGTCTTTCCATGTTGGATTGACTTATTTTAGTTTAAACTATAAACAAGGAGATTTCAAGAGATCTACAACAAAAACAGGCAGATTTCCAACATCTATAAACAAAAGTGTTGATGGCAGCAGCACAGCTGGTATTTTTCTCCAGGATGGTGTCACAGCCAAACAGGAAACTACCAGATGAAACTACTATAAGAAAAAGCAGAGAGAGCATAGCGTTAGACATTGAACTTACAAATTCTTCAGGGTGGAAGAATAGAGATAGAACAAAGCAGAATGATGAAATGGGGGTCCCTATGTCTTCCAGCATTCTAAGCCTATAGCAGCATAACTATCGAGAAAGCTCAGGATAACCTGAGCCACTCTAACTATAAGCTTTATCAAAAAGGAAAGTTTTAAGCCTACCCTTAAAAGCAGACAGGGTGTCTGTCTCACGGACTAGTAGTAGGTTCCACAGGAGAGGAGCCTGATAACTAAAAGATCTGCCTCCCATTCTACTTTTAGAAATTCTAGGAACCACTAGTAAACCTGCAGATTGAGAGTAAAGTGCTCTGTTAGGAACATAAGGAACAATCATATCTCTAATGTGAGATGAAGCTTGGCCATTTAAAGCTTTATATGTCAGAAGGAGGATTTTAAATTCTATTCTGGATTTAACAGGAAGTCAATGAAGAGAAGCTAGGATAGGAGAGATATGATCTCTATTTTTTTAAACTATATATTTATTTTAAGTTCACCTGATCTCTGAATCGTTTGAGTTACTCAAGGTGGGGTAGGATAAGAGTAAACTATCAATATCCCCACAAAAGCATTCACTAAAAGTGAAAAATATGGAAAAGAACAAAATACTACTAAAAGTAGTTTTTTTCCTGAAAGTTACTTAAGTAAATGCAACTCAGTAAATCTTAAAATTTACATAACAAATTATAAAAGGAACATTGAGATACATCTGAACAAAGAGAGCCTTTTGCTCTGCTGTCTCTCGCTGCATCCCAACTGAACATGATCTTCATCCGCTTTCATGTGACTGTATTCCTCTGACAAACCTGCACAGCTCTGCTTTTTCCCCCCCAAAATATAAAGATATTCATTCCGGTAGTGAGTTAAATATTTTTTTAAAATAATACATAGAATGCTTTAATCATTTTGCAGTCCTCATGCTGGTTAATGCTGGAAATACCTGATATGATGCAGTCTGATTTCTTGTCCTCTGAATCAGGGAAAGAAAATATAAGTGACATAATAATGATGCTTCCTGGTTGGCAGGTGGCTGGGCAGACAGAGAGAAACAGCTGCAGTCGATATGAGCTGGACTCGATTAGGAACCTGTCTGCAATGGGGACCAGTCCAAACTGGATGAAAAACCAGTCTGTGGAGGAATCCATGCCAGAGGTCCTTCTATCAAACCTGAAACAGGAGGGATGCAAAGATGGATGGACGTACAGTACTGAGTACTTCAATTCTACTGTGGTCAATGAGGTATATCACTGCCCATCTAGAATATGAAGCACCAGGAAAATGATGGTTAATGGTTATTTTAGCATTTCATTAACATAGAGTTCAGCTCATGGCCAGACAGTCATTCTGGAAAGATTTTTATTGTGCAATCCCCCGGAGGTTGTGACCTTTCTAAGTAAACAGAAATTATTGACTGCATCATTTTTACCTGTCGTCTCTAAACAGTGTAATCACTTAAGGCTCAGATTTTTTTTTGAAAGACTCTATAGAATTTCAGTTTTGTTCGAACAAAATAAAGAAAATGAGTTTTCATTTTCAAACACTTCTGATTTCCTGCCAACAGCTCTTAACTTATACAACAGCTAGCTGGAAAAACACCCTGATATTATGACATTAATCCCTGTCGGATAAAAAGAGTAATTTTGAATTAATTTTGAAATTGTATAAAGGCAACTCTGAAATGCAGAAACTAACAGCTTGGAAAGAAATTAGAAGCAGTTTAAAAGCTGCATTGAGAAAACCGCTGCAGCAGCATGAAATGAGAGAGATGTATCTAAATGTAGTAGGTATGAAAATGGCATTAAAATGTGGCCATAGGTTGAGATGAGCACAGCTGAAACATTTTAGTACACTCTCTTTGTTTTTGATTAACTTATATATATATATATGCTCTATATTTGCCCTCTAGTTTAACCTGGTGTGTAGTGACCAGTGGAAGCAGCCTTTGTCTTCACTTATCTACTTTCTGGGAGGACTCTCCGGGTGTTTTATCTCAGGAATGATCTCCGACAGGTACATTTCTCATTTTATTTCATTAAATTATTTGCAAAAGGGAATATTTTTCCAAAAGATAAATAGTATGCAAAAGGGAATCATGTTGCAACTATTTTGTTGAAGAATTGCCACACTGTGACAGTGAGCTTATCTATTAATCTAAACACACTTATTAAAGGAAAATGTTAAAACCAATATTTGCAGGTTGTTCTAAACTGGACCCTTTTTGTCATGGTCAAACTTCTGGTTTGGTTTTTATTTTCAAAAGCTGACATACATGAAGTATCAATAAATCATTTCCTAAAATTGATGAACTCCAAATATTTTCAAACTTATTGTGGTGGTAACATTTTCAACCCTAAAATTAACCTAACCTTTGGAAGCAGCTTAGGCTGTCTTAGTCCTAAACAACTCTGAATTGTAAGCTTTTTTTTGGGTAAATAGGCGGAAGTTCAACTGAAGAAACTCATTGCTTTCCTTCATCCACCTGAGACACAGCCAATCAACTTTGAACCACGCCTCCCCGAAAACAAACGGCATCCAAAGTTCATCTTAAAAGGCCTCCGATATGCACCTGTCTTCTCCTGTGCACAGGCGGCGGATGCGCTGTGACTTCATTCAGATGACACCTTTTAAACCAACTTCCAGCCCCTCCTCCACCATCGTAGCTAAAGCTTCATCGTAGTGTCATTTCTCCTGGACTCTTACTGCGTTCCCTGTCTCATCTTAACCAGTTCGGCAAAAGACCGCCATGTAGAGCCTGGTTCTGCCGGAGGTTTCTTCCAAATGGGGAGTTTTTCCTCTCCACTGTCGCTTCATGCTTGCTCATCATAGACAGGTTCTCTCCAAACTGGACTTCCATCTTCCAGGTCCCTGAGTGAAGCTCTAGTATCAGCTCACGCAGTCCACTGGATCTCGCCATAAAGCTCAGCATACGGTCTCGCTAACTAGCAGTCTACAGACTGATCAACTTCATCTATCTCCACTCCAGTTTCAGGCCTGGGGGGGAAACAGCCCTGTTCTTTGCTCCTGTTCATGCATATCTATCAAAATTAAGCGCTATGTCTCCTGCCGAGGTCTGAGTGCCAAAGACAAAGTAATTGTATCAATAAATTTCTCCTAATTGTCTTTTCTCTTTTTGTGCGTTTTCTTCAGATTGAAATGTAAAACTGTCTATTTGCTTTTTGTAAAAGTTAAAATTGTTATATCTTTGCAAAAGAAATTAAAAAAGCTTTATTTTGCTTGGTAGATCTAAAATAAGTATTTTATCCAAATTCAACATTAAATTTGAGGTTAAATTGCACTATGCATAATTAACTAATAAACAAAATTTCCAGTGCAGGTTGAATGATTTGTGATTGAAACTATAAGGCTAACTCCTTTTTCCCATGACTGTAAATGTTGTTTTTATGCCTGCATCCTTCCCTGTGCTGGTGCTGCAGGTTCGGCAGGAAGCCTGTCCTCTTTGGATCCATCGCCATCCTCAGTGTCTTCAGCAGCGCCGTGGCTTTCGCACCATCCTGGCCGATCTTCGTTGTTCTTTTTTTTATGCAGGGTCTGGGTCAGATTGCCTCCTACATAGCTGTGTTTGTATTGGGTAGGTATAATCATACATCTTTAATCTCTCTGTATCCTAATGTACAAGTCAAAGCAGCTGAAACCAGTCAACCGGTCACCAAAGTTAAATCATCAAATTTCTGATCAGAATCAAAATTAAAAAATGCCTTATTGACAAGTAGTGGTTCTACACATAGTCAAGGAAACAGAATAGAATGGAATAGAATAGAAAAAACAATTTATTGTCCCGCAATTGGGAAATACTGGTGTTACAGCAGCAATGGTCACACAAATGTGGACCTTAGAAGAGTGTATGAAAAGTAACAATAGTGAAGAGTAAAAAAAAAAAAAAAACAAGTAAAGTACTGTACTGTAAAGTGTTTTAACAATATAAGTACTATGCACCTACACAATATATAAATAATCAATTAACATAAATAAAGAGGGGAATATGAATATTTAGAAGGAACGAAGGTAAGCTGTATATAAAGAGCATGTTAGCTGTTTTTAAACAATGTGATTGAATGTTGGGTTTTCTGTCATTTTGTAAATGATTAGCATACATTATATATTAAACTTTAACAATGAGCTGAATAATTAATTTATGCTAGATATAGAAATGCACTGAGTCGATACCTGGATCGGATATTGTCTCTGATATTGACTAATTAGCTGGATTGGATATCAGAGATGCAATCAAGTTCACTTCCAATGAAACTGCTATTTCTTTCTTTTTTTCTGTTTACGTGTTAAGAAATAATAAAAAGTACATTTATATCTGTGTTCATTTGATACCTGTTTTGAACAATGTTTTCGTGGTTCATCCATTAGAAAGTTGAATTGGATCGGTATCGGATAACGGTCGATACGCTTTGGATGATTGAATTATGTTTAGGTCCAACTGTATCTGTACCAGATTAGATTGGGAAAAAATGGGCTCAGTGCATCTCTTATGCTAGATAATAATAAAAGAAAAATAGGAGTAAAATCCTTCGATTTATGCGAGTGTTTTATTCACAGGCTCAGAAATCCTTGTGGGCTCAAGCAGAGTCCTTTTCTGCAGTCTGGGTGAGCCTTTTGCCTTTGTGTTCTCCATGATGCTTCTGACTGCAACTGCATACCTGGTCAGGAGCTGGAGATACCTGTCCCTCATCATGGCTTTACCTGGCTTGGCTTGTATCCCCCTCTGGTGGTAAGATGGTCTAACTACAACATTTACTTCCCTGTGGAAGGTGAATGTGGATCACAATGCATTGAAGACTGGTCTAACATCAAGTAGCATAATCCTAATCACAAACTAGTGAAATCTCCTGAAACACTGCAATAAAGATGCTTCTACTGTCTGTAGTTTTTATTGCTGAGAGATAAAAATAATAAAAGACCTCTCTCAGCTGAAGGAGTGACTTTTAACACAATACTTTAAATATATTTGCAAAGTGCTGTTTTTTGGAACTGAAGTGCATTTTTCCTTTTTTGATTGTGTTAGTATAATTTCATGCCCAGCTCTAAATGTTTATAAATATCCATTAGGATGATTCCAGAATCTCCTCGCTGGCTGCTGTCTCATGGCCGCTTGCAAGAGGCCACAAGTCTGCTGAGGTTAGCTGCTCTGGAGAACAGAGTGGAAGCCCCACCTGTCATTTTCGACACTTCCAAAGTAAAAAAACACACCAAATGAACTTCAGCTCAAGAAGCTCCAATTAGCTGTTGGTGGGATACTGATGTGTTTCTGTTTTACTCTGCAGGCTGAAAAAACTGAAAGACAGGAGCCAGAGTCGGTCAGGTTCCTGGACCTGTTGAAGAAGGCAAAAATTCGAAATATAACGATAAAACTGTGGATTATTTGGTGAGCAGCAAAGGTTTCCTTAAAAATAAAGCAAACTCTGTGGAAAACATCTTTATGATCACTGCAGCCAAGCTAAAAATCTTACAGAAAAATGCAATATTTTTAACCGTTTTTTTTTCTCTATATGATGCTACAGACTCAGTTACTTTATTGATCTAAAATGAATAAATTAAAGCTGTGTCAGTTTGTCTTGTTTTTTTCCAGGTTTTCTGTGAGTGTCAGCTACTTTGGTCTGTCCTTTAGTACCTCTTCTTTGTATGGAAACCCCTATCTGAACTACTTCCTGCTCACAGCTGTGGAGATCCCAGCATACTTTGCCAGCTGGCTGGCTGCCCGAAAGTGTCCTCGCCGTCTTTCATTTGTCAGCTTCTCCCTTCTGGGGGCGCTGGCACTTTTTCTTATCCAGGTCACCATGAACAGTGAGTGTGATAAGTATATAAGAAGCACCTTTATCACCGAACACTCTGACTTTTTCAGAAACATATTAAAGATAGAGGGTCGTTCAATAAGTAATGCCCCAGACCCACTTCCAGATGTTTGATCGAGCTGAATTTTTGCACGTGACGTTATTTAAAACTCTATAAATTAAGTAGCAAATTACAGCTCTAAACTATTTGTGGTTTCTGACTTACAGGTGTTTGAACTGAGTAAAGTCTGAAATGGAACCTGTTGAGTGTTGAGCATTGATCCCATTTTTCTATTGAAAAGGATTCACACCACGGGAGACTTTTGATGAAATTAAAGTAATGTATGGTGATGATGCCCGTTATATGACCTTGCAAAATGTTTTACCATACAAGGTTATATTATGGGAAATTATCACTATAAGTTACTTTCATTTGATCAAAAGTCTACCACTTTCAAATTCAAAAACTCAGACTTGACTCAGTTTTAACACCAGTAAATCAGAAACCACAATTAGTTCAGAGCTGTAATTTGCTTTTTAATCTATAGAGATTTAAAATACTTCACATACAAAATTTCAGCTCAAACAAACATCTGGAAGTGGGCCAGGGGCATTACTTATTGAACGCCCTCGTATACCTCTAACTGGTATTATCAAGTAAAAAATGTGTCAGTAACTGATTTACCACTTTATCACTGTGCTTATTTTTGATAAAGTATATCAGGATTCATTTATCAATTTATCAATTAATTATCATTTCAAGGGTGACAAATGATTGTGCAGTGAAGTTATAAATGCTGATTGTATATAAAACAAACTTATTTGAGAAAAGAGTGATTTTCTTTGTATTTTTTTAAGAAGTCACACCAATGATCTTGGCCTGAAGTGAGAAAGTAATTTCCTCCTAAACCTAAAAGTTGATTGTGTCAAACTTTGCACGAATAGCTACGACTCAGCGATAAAAATTAGTTATTTACATCACTGAGCAGGAACTTATATTCTTTCATTCTTTTTATTTTTATGTCAACCACATTAAAGTGTTTAATGAGTAACTTGTCCAGGTTCTGAAGCAGCAAATCACCATCACTTTAACACAAATGCGTTTGACCTTTGGCATGGTATTCTTTTGTAAAAGAGGGCATTCATTTCACATAATTAGATGATACTAGATGTAACAAAAACTTCCAAAACCTTCATTTTCTCTAAATAGGGTGAAATATTTCCTCAATTTTTTTTCCAACAATATAAAACAATACATGTGCTCTTGTTGGTCAACAGTGGTTCATTGTCTATCTTCTGTATTTCTTTATCATAAAAATTGATCACGAACTGAAGCAATTAATGCTTTAGATTCCCTTTAAGCTTCAATGTTATTACCACATTCCAAAGAGATATAAGTTATGATTTTTGTTTAAAATTGCTTTTCTGATTCTAGACTGATAGATAAATCCGTTTCTTTTTTATTGTCCTTCATTTTTGTCTTTTTACAGATTTTATATATTTTATTATTTATCATTTTGCATGTTTTTTGTTTAAGCAGTTTCTATCATATGGCATTTGCCTTCGTGTGGCTTCATTAATTCTAGCCTTTTACAATATGTGATTATTGATAATTATAATTTTGTTTATATATATAATAATATTAGGATGTTTTTCCTTAATGAATCGAATTGTCATTGGAAAACGGTATTTAGTTTTGTTCAATGTTATCGATGCCTTAAATTTACATTAGTGATTCAAATAATGAAATATATGCATATAATCATCAGAATTTTAAATAAATGTTTTTGTAAATGGCAAAAGTGATACTTAATTATCACCAGATGATGATAACAACCCAATCCAGCCTTTATGTGCAAAAATAAAACCCTTGTAAGAATGAGTAATGAAATAGAATAAGATACAGGGGGGAAAAAAGTACTATACACATGAAGAAAGAGAGGTGACAAAAGGCATGGAAACTCAAAATATGTCAGTAAATGCAAAGAAATGTGATCATTTTTGTAAAACAATCAGCTGTTTCAGTCCCAAATGAAGGCTTATAAAAAAGTGTCTCATTGCCAAGATGTAACAAAAGAAACTTATCAAGATGTTAAAGCCTTTTGTTGCAAAATATTTGGGCTCTGGTTACAGAAAAATGTCCAAACTGCTACTCGGTTCTGTTAAGTATACAATTTCAAAGTAAGAAGAAGATAATTACAAAAAAAAAAATGTTTTAAAAGTGCTAAGATTATGTCCTCCGTGCAACTGGAGAGGAAATAATTATCAGAAATGTCCGAGGGCCAATGAGTATTTGTGGAGAGCCTGAGAAAGGTAACCACAAGGATTCTACTGTGGAAGAAAATGCATATATTTATAAAAGCCAGTGGAATACTGGGAAAATACAATCTGGCCAGATGAGACCGAATAAAACTCTTTAGCTGCAGTAATACACAATGGATTTGGAAGTCAAAAAACAACGGATATATCCACCCAAAACCTGCATACCAACAGTAATGATTAAAGATGGGAACATCATGGTGTGGGGCTGTCTTTCAGCAGGTTTCATGTAATTGAAGAAAGACGAAGGAGAGAATGGAGATAGATGTTCTAGACATAAACCTGCTGCAGATGGTGATGATGTTTAAACATGAGTGGATGATTCAGTAGGTTAATGATCCCAAAACATGCATCTAAGGAAACCTATAAGTGCTTTCAGAGAGAACTGAACTAAAACTAGATTGGTTCAACCAAATAAAAACCTCTGGAAAGAACGTAAGCTCAGAGTTCATCCAGTAGACCATTGGTTAGAGTATATAGTATTTTTTTTCCCTTCATGGTTCATTTTTATTAATCAAATCATTATTTCTGTGCATAGATGAGGACTTGGCGGATTGTCAATTGTACACACACATTCACTCATAAATATGTGGCCTTTGAAAGTCAACTGAAAGCTTGATTCCAGTACCTGAAAAGCTAATATGTTGGTTGATCTTTTTATCAGCTTGTGAGCTCACAGGACCTGCTTTTTGCATGCAGGTCATCAAGCTCTTACCATGTCCCTGGTGCTGTTGGGTAAATTTGGTGTTCTGGCTGCGACTGGGATGATGTACACCTACACAGGAGAGCTGTCTCCCACAGTGATCAGGAATACAGCAATGTCCTCGTGTGCCATGTTTTCACGAGTGGGATCCTCTTTATCGCCATATCTGCTGGAAATGGGTGAGACCTTTAAATCTAGTTGCCTGTGATTGACAGCAATGCTATTTTACCTAATAAGATTTCTCTACATTTATAAATAATTAGAACTGGAGATCCATTTGTGTTAAAATTCCAGTGCTTTTTTTCCCCTCCTTTTTATACTCCCTAAATATTTGATCGGACTAAACTTGGAAACATTTAATCCTTCGATCTGAAAAGATTTGGCCTGATTTTTGTCCCCAGCTAAGTTCAATGAGCTCCTGCCATGGATCATCATAGGTGTCCTGTCACTTCTCAGCGTTCTTCTCTGCATCTTCCTGCCAGAAACTTTCAGAAAGCCACTGCCTGATACCATAGAGCAGATGCCAGCCTCACAGTGGTGAGTGTGCACAGTGCCTTAACATTTTCATTATGGAGATACAGACTAACACAAACAAATGCATAAAAAACATTTCAAAGATATGGTGCAAAAACATAAATTAAGTTTTGTGTACATGTGGGTTCCACTACTATCTTTAAATACCTTTAATAAATCCAGTGTGACTATTTTGCTTTAGAAGTTATTTTCCATCCATATGGTAGATAGCACAATTGATAATCAAATAAGAGTTGGCCGTCTTTCATAAATGAAAAGATTGACAGAAACAGCATTATAATTATCTGAACATAGAATCTGAATCTAGATTCACAGCTCAGGTGAGAGAATCTGGATACAGGATAACTATAAAATATTCTCCATAGATCTAGCTTATATAAAAAAAAAAGTAGTGAGAGGAAAGCTGTTGTAAGAAAATTACAACTACAATATCTTGTAGTTTTCCACTACACAAGTGAAAGAGACCGAAATCATTCAGAAGGAGCTAATCTGGTCCAATTAAACAAGAATTCCTCTCATGGCCTGAATAAAAGCACTAGTGTGTGGTGAAAAACCACCCCTGCTTTGCAAGACAGTTTCCATCTTTATCCTCAAGAGTCGAGTAAGAAAGGACTGAGTTAAATCCTAGTCTTAAACTTTAAATTTCAGGTATTTTCTTCATTTATTTGTTTTAAGAAAGTTGAATATGTTAAATGTAAATGATTCAGCATGGGTGCATTTTTTTAAAATCTGTATTTATTTCTACTCCTGGTGACAGCAGGGCTCTGAGTGGAAAGACAGAGAAACGTCTGAGAAATAAACTTTTATTTGTAAATGAAAAAATTAAAAACAAAAGCAAAAATAAGTTTATTATAAAAGAAAGAAAACAGATGTTTGTGTTTTGTTACAAAATGAAAAAAGTGTACAAATCCTTTGTAAAGAAAATAGGTATAAGAAATATAAAATAAAATTAGAGGCAAGTGAAAACTAAAAAACTGATGCAGTTCTCCTTTTCTGATTTACAGGTTTGCATGGCCCTGGACCTCCAAAGCTGCCCTGAATGATGAAGGAAAATGCTCTAAAGAGCTGGAGTGTACATCACTAGAGATTATCTGTACAACTCGTTTATGAGGCACCCGATATAAAAATAAGATGTTCTACAGAAAATCAAGCAAACAAAAAAAAAAAACCTGTCAGATTATGGTGCATGAAAAATCTATGGTGAATATTTCTAATAACATTTGTCATCTTGTGAAAACAACTGTTTTCTAGGAAGGTTTTCAGATGTTATTACTAAGGAAAAAATGTAAATGGGGGGTGTCCAAACGTTTTGCAAAGAGGGCCAGATTTGTTCAGATGAAAATGCATGGGGGCCAGTCATTTGGCCTGACAGTCCTCGAACCATTATCATCGTAAATGAACATGTAAATATGTATCTATATCACTTTTTTGTCTGTAGATAGGACAATATTGCAAATCAGATTCTGCTGTCAATTGCATTACCATTATTATAAATACAAATAATTATAAATACAAATAAACAATTTTCTGAAAGTTGCCTTAATTTTGTATCACACATATTGTTTTATTTTTTTCGACAAATCACATCCTAGCGCATTTTGTAAAACATTACAGTCAAATCAGATAGAAGATATATGACAACACTGTGATCTGATTGTCACAAAAAAGAAATTCTCAGAGACTTTGGAATTTATTCTCCCCAGAATAGAACAAAATACCAGTGGTGTCAAGTACACACATTTGTTACTTAAGTAGAAGTATAGAAGTATCAACTTGACCTTTTTACTCAAGTAAAAGTGAAAAAGTATTTCCTCCAAAAACTACTTCAAGTATAAAAGTATAAAGTAACCTTAAAAATAAAAACAGCCAGATGCCAATATATAAACTGAAAGCTACATTTTTCGACTATTTCGGAAAAATTCTTTGATATAGGGCCAAGGATGAGGGAGGTCTTGTTGGTCTCGCCTGTGTCCGACCTTTCAGACATTTCAACATCTTTATCTGAATCCAACATTGTAGCATTGAATAGACAATTCACGCTTGTAGTTTGAAAAACACCTGCTTGCTTCTGATGATTTCCTTTGGGGTCAGCACAAATTAGACGAATAGCTAACTAATGAGTGTTTGCGCTACATGACTCATCCAATTACACTAGTTTTCACTAGATGTGGATGGAGCCAATCAACTGCATTGGATGGAGCACATGACATGAAATAAATATTTATAAACATTAAACCGAAGCCAAGAGTAAGGAGTAACGTTTGTTTGAAAAATGTAAGGAATAGAAAGTACAGATACTTGTGTGAAAATGTAATGAGTAGAAGTCAGAAGTAGGAAGAAATATAAGTAATGGAGTAAAGTAGATACTTAAACAGTTTACTTAAGTACAGTAAAGAAGTATTTGTACTTTGTTACTTGACACCTCTGTTCTGGGGTTATATGGAAAAAGCAAGTGGTGCACTTCATTCCATATTATTTCACAGTGGACACATGCATAAAAAATATGATTAGTTGATTTGATATCGGCTCATCAGTGGATACCCACCCCTTGCAGCAAGAAGGTTCTGGGTTCAATTCCCAGTCTTTCTGCAAGGAGTTTGCATGTTCTCCCTGAGCATGCATGGGTTCTCTCCAGCTTCCTACCACAGTTGAAAAACATGACTGTTAGGTTAATTGGCTTCTCTAAATTCTCCTTAGGTGTGAGTGTGTGTGTGAATGGTTGTTTGTCTCTGTGTTGCCCTGCATTTGACTGGTGACCTGTCCAGGGTGTACCCCGCATTTTGCCTGTAAACATCAGGAGATAGGCACCAGCACCCCTCCAACCCCACTTGGGATTAAGCGTTAGTAAGTCGATGGATGGATGATGATTTGATTTCTGCTTCATAAAATGCAAATGCATTATCATTCAAAAGACATCCAAGAAATTATTTCGAAAGTTTATCTTTTGAGAGAGTTTTGAAGTGGATTTGGGGGAAAGAGCATTTTTATCTCTTTTTTTGTCTTTTATTTTATTTTATTTATTTATTTCTTGATCAATTGAGATTATTTGTTAGATCCAATCTGGATAAGCCAAGAAATTAAGCGAAATGAGATCTAGGAAGCAACAGCGCCCCCCTGAGTCAGATTATTGAAAATACAACGGTAATCAAACACCGGAAGTTACTGTATTTTATTTGACTTTACTGCACATGCGCAGTGCGACCAGCTCCACCGCCTGGCTCGTGTGAGCTTCTGGTGTTAGAAGGGGAGAAGTGAGCAAACTGAGGATTTTAGTACATTATTCCATAAAACGCGTCTAGTTTCTGGTTTTTCACAGAGTCTGGAAACAAAAGAAAAGGGAGAACGAAATCGAGGGCATAAAGAGGAAAGAGAAAAGGAGGAAGACGGGGAGGATATTTTTTTTACACAGTGGAAAATGCTGCGGATTTGACTAAAAGGTAAGGAAAGCCAGCGGATCAATACTCATTGTTGGTTGAGCTCAAAGTTGTCGGTTGTGGGCGGAAGGAAGACGTGGTGATGGAGGTTTACAGCCGCAGCCTCCGCAGTCTGCGGCTGCTGAATGTAGGTCATTGTGTCGCTGGGTCGGACTTGAACGATCGGAGCCGAGACCAGCTGGGCCGAACCGAGCGGTGCTGCAGGGGGGCTGCAGGAAGGTGATGCCCTGCAGCAGGATAGACCTCTGGGCTCTTGTTTACAAATCAGCAATCGTCCTGACAGGCTAAAAAATGTTGAAATAAAATGCATGAGACCACACATGTGTTATATTGATTTTAAAATTCAAACAGTTAAACAAACTGCTTTGTAAAGAGATGGATGAAAATAGCCTTGAAATGAAACATGCATGCTTTTAGATAATACAGTTATCTAAAAAAAAAAGGGGGAAAAATTATACTTCTGCTTTGTATAAATTTGGGTCTGTAAGATCACAAGAGGCACACGAACCATGGTGATCAGCTGGTATTATTTCACATTTTCTATTAACAGTTTGATCACAAACATGAAAATGGAAAAAAAAAACTGCAAAGAAAGAAAGAAAATTAAAATGTGCAAATAAAAAAACTACAGAGAAAAAAAGGCAGAAAATAAAAAACTACTGAGAAAAAATGAACATAAAAAACGTGCAAATAAAACACTGCAGAGAAAAAAAGGACTTAAAAAAAATTACAAAAAAAAAAAACTGCAGAGAGAGAGAGAAAAATTCCAGGTAATATCAACAGATGCATTGGTTTTCCCCCTAGAGTTTTTATCTATATTAGATATGATATAAAGTAGCTAAAGTGGTGGAAAAACGGGCCATGGTAGCTTTTTAAAAGACAATTAGCCATATTCAAAGGGAGTTAGTAGAATGAAATAGAATAGAATAGAAAATCCCTTTATTGTCACATTATATTAGTGTTATAAGAAGCAAGAGTTCTTCCTGCAACTGTAGGGTTGCTCTTTTGAACCCCAAATTGAATCCAAAATAGTGAACTTTTAAAAACTAAACAGGTAAATTTGGATTATAGCTTTTTGTATCCTAAAGTCTAATCATTGTCTGCACTACTATCACTATTAATACGCTTCACAAACCTAATAAACATTTTCTGCCACTAAAAATATTTATTACAGCAGTATAACAGCTACTTAATAAGTCGAGCTATTAGCTATATTTTTTAACAGATATGCTGATCAGAGTGAAACAGCTGTAGTTGGAAAGCAGCAACACCATCATGCTAGCAGATGGTTGCAGCCGTTTTTTAATTCCACCGAATGGCCTTTCTATTCTAGTTTATTGCTGCTATAATCTTTTTATAATTAAAGATGACTTTATCTTTTTTGCAAGAAAGGAAAATTATATTAGCCTTCCTTTAGGTGTACCTCTAGCTGTGGATAGGCAGTTAAAGTAGGGCTGCAACTAACCATTATTTAGCAAATCGATTAATCTGTCGATTATTTCTAATAATTGTATAGTAAAAGGTTCCTTAAAGAATATTTTTTGCAAAATTAAACCAGGTGAAACTAAAACTCTTTCCACTTGAGGAACTCTGGATAGAGCAGATTGACAGACAAAAAAGCTTTTTTTTTAATCTTAAATGCAAATGTGCATATGTTTTTTGCAATTTTGGTATAATTGCTGCTCAAGGTGGGTCACTCTGTCAGCTATAGGCATATTTTAGTCTCTACACTCCTGTTTAACGATTAACCGCTTACTAATTTACTCGATGTTTATTTCAATAATCGATTAATCACGATTAATCTGATGAATTGTTTCAGCCCTAGTTTAAAGACCTTAAACACTAAGAATGTCTCAGTTGTAGGAGGAATACGTTTGTTTAAGAAAATTTTATTTTAAGCTATGATTAAATTTAAACATTTTGAGCCAATGGTTCATATGTTTGAAGATAAAATCACAAGCTTAATTTTAAAGGGATTTTTTAAAATTATTGTTATCTCTGAACTCTTTGCTAACATTTGGTATTTGATTTTTCACTATTAGTGCAGCCAGGCCCCAAACTTCCAAAAGGAGCACCTTCATAGACTATGATGTGGGTGCTCTCTTCATCCTCTGCCTTTTACAGTTTCCATTTGTATCTCTGTTTCTGTCTCCTATAACCCCAGTCGACCTCTGCAGATGACACTGAGCCTGGTTCTGTTGGAGGTTTCTTCCTGTTAAAAGGGAGTTTTTCCTCTCCACTGTCGCTACAAGCATGCTTAGTGTGAGGGATTGCCTTCGAGTCGATGCAATCAGCTGATTTTCCTTAGATAGAAAACTTTGAATCAATTTAACTGTATGATCTGGTGAACTGTAAAGTGCCTTCAGATGACATGTGTTATTAATCGGTGCTATATAAATAAACCGAATTCAATTGAATGGCCAACAGAAGAAATAACTGACTGATGAGAAGTGCTGGGTGAGCAGTTAAGCATCAAAGATGTTTCATCCAGAAACAAAAACCTGCTGATTTACTAGCTGACTGCTGAGTGCGACCTGAAAAAAAAAAAAAAAAAAAAAAAGCCCTGATCAAACAAGCAGTAAATCATGGGCCGAGCTGGAGCCAGCATCTGAATCTGCTGGGAAGAATGCCAGCTGGGAGAAAATCTGTTAGGGAAAAATAACAGTCCTGTCCCTGTCTTATTTGTACAGCATGTCAGCCAGAGCGCTAATGTTTATCTTTTTAAACTCTCACATTTCACACTTTTTTGAATATTTTTTTAGTTTTGTTTCAGTTTTGTTTTGCTTAAAAAAATCAGTTCAGCTCCTCGCTGCTGAAGCTCCCTGAAGGAAGGTGACACGATTTCGTCGAAACATCTGTAAAACCCGACGGCTAACTATTCTTTTGTATGTTTCCAGCTCTTTTGTTTGCAGGTGGTTTTAGGTGGTGTTTCTGCAAACGCACTCATCCCCTTCCTTCCTCATTGTGTTTATCTTTTAAGGCCTTATCCAGTCACATTACACTCAGTACTCTTTTAAACATTAGAGAGCCGACGTCCCCAGCTTAACAGTCA